TTATTATAAATCTAAATCTACAGTATAAATTAAATAGGCCAAAATTTTCCTAACTAATCTAATTTTTGGTGCATTATATCCTTTTGGGTGGCTTTAACTTTTGAGAGCCCATGGCACTAGCAATATTTCTCATATATAGTCATATCCATATATGCAAAACACATTCTATATTGTCGATAATCATAAAACTTTTGCACTATTATTAGCTTTTAGATATAAAATATATATTAGAGAAATAATGTTTGCCACAAACTGCACAAATTATTCAAACATACTATTAATTAATATGAGGTTCCACTTCTACAGGAATCTACGACACTGCTAGCTCTTATAAATAGCTACATGTTTTTGTCCCATTTTGGCAGCAAATATTAATGAGAGACCACCAAAAGGAAGAAGAGCCCATTATGGCCCACTAATTAAAGTTGCATTTTGATGAAGGTGCTATCTTGGCCCAAAAATATCTATGTTCAAGATAAGAATGGAATCTAATATCCTATCTGGATAGATGTTGTTGGTCCTGTTGGAACATTAACTGGAGTTAACAGGGTCCATGGGTTGCGGTTCATCGAGTCCACCCAAGATTGGTTATGGCAGTTGATAGGAACCTCCAATAAGCCTCCATCAAATTGGTCCAGTTGATCTGTTGAAGAGGAGACAAGCTATTTATGGATGGAACGATTTTGGATTCGTTGTCTCGTGAAATTCTGAAATAAAAAAAAAAAAATGTTATTCTTCATACAACATGGCGGAATTTCGTATATATATAGTTGGGGATAAATTTTCTGTAAAAATTAATTAAACCAGGTTCCAAGCTATTTCTCCCTAAAAGGAGAATCTTCGAAACAATGCGGAGAGCTTTATTATCAAGAATGCTCAGGAATGAATATAAAATGATGTACAGTATTGCCTTACTGAATTGAGATTTCATCCACACAAAGTTGTATACCGTCCTTACAGTTAGGGGTGTCAATTAGACTGGATTTGATCCTATCCGAATCAGTTTAATAGTGTAAGTTCATTATAAATGGACCAGGTCCAATCCAATCCAATGAATATTTTTGATCAATTTAGACCGATCCAATTCAATGTTTAGACCATTCAATCTGTTTAAATTCATTTTGATTTAGATTAATTTCAACCCAAACCCGGTCTATTGACACATATATTCTTATCTTATATCAATGAACCAGATATTGAACAAGTAGAATTAATTAATACAGAAAACTTGTTGAGATTTTTATGTTAATGGGGCTGTACAAGTTGAATAATTAATATCGTCTTGGTCTATGTATTGGTGTGGCCTGTGGGATCTACATTCTACAAGGACGTTGCGGCCACGTGAATGAAAACTGATAAGTTGGGGTTGTCGGATAGCCCAATTGGTCAAAGTAATTATTGGGGCATTTTGAAGAAGATGTAAATTAATTGTCATTGGTCCAATCAATCCTTCTGCAGCTGATGATAACAACATCAGCTGCATTTTGAAGAAGATGGTGCTTGAATAAAGACTGTTGATCAAGAATTTCTAATTGTAAGGTCCAGATTTGAATTCAAATAACGTTTTTATTTAAACTTGAAATGGTATGATTGATTTGGGTTATATATACAGTTCCTAACTTTCTCCTTTGTAGCCAAAGCAAATCATGTAGATGCTAATTGATGAACTAGGTTGTCGGATATATATATATATATATATCTTATTAGCAGGCCGACCGGCCCGCTTGAAGAATCAAGGTAGTTTACAAAAATGGTTAACAGCTGGTTAATTAATTGAGTTTGAAATGGGGTTAAAGGATAGAGTTAAAAAAGTTGAAGAGAAGGCGAAAATAAGTAGTTCAATTTGTTTTATTTAAAAAAGATATCATGGGGTTTTTACTAGTGTACGTACATACTTTGGTAAAGAAGATAGAGGTGAGGTGTCCTCGTGTTGTTGGAGGAGTTGAGTCAGGTCAGGTCCGCGTACGCAGTACAGTACAGTCCAACAACTACTAAACTTGGCTGGATTATTTCAGGTTTGGATCATGTCCAGACAAGGCTAAGTAGGTGGTTGAACGTCCTGCTGGCTGGATTGGAACTTTGGAAGAGCGCGTGCAACTGCAGGCTGCACCACTCCATATATATATGACAACTGACAAGAAAGTTTCATATATGCACCATGGTTTAATTCCATGCATGTTCCCTTTAATTTTCTTTTCTTCTGGCCTGTTTAATTTCCATCAATTTCAAAGGAGAAAGGAGAGGGCCACTCCCACAGTCCCACTCCGATCGAAGTCCTAGCTAGCTAGTTTTCAAAACTTGAATCCCAGGGAAAGGCCCATAGTTATCAGAACCGGCCGGTTTAGATGACAAAATGGGACGACTTGTTTATATATATATATATATATATATCAACTCTCAACTCTCAAGCAAGAATAACAGATAGAGAGAGAAGCAAATTTAGTGGAGTAGTCTTCCAGGAGAAGGCTGCTTAAGTGTAACACAAAGGCAAATAAGGTGAGACTGCAGCTGGTCCATTTCAGGTTTATAAATGGGATTCCAATTTCCAAACGAATCTGATCTCTTCTGGTCAATGCATATCTCTATGTCCCCATTATTCCTATAGACTTTGTTGTTCACTCAATATGACGCGTGGGTGGCAAGAATCATTGCTCTCTCTCTCTATATCTCTAGATTTCTGGCCTGCTGAGCCTAGAAAAATTCTAGTTTGTTGATGACCCATGGCCATGGGCAGGTCCAGCTTTAGAGAAAAGTCGAGATTCTTGGCCCATGCTATAGATGCAAAGCTCACACAAAACCACATCATCAGCACTGCTGAATATACGCTTTCCTGACCTGTAAAGCAAGAGAAGGCCACTTGGGTCTCTACTTTTCTTGCTACTTAATTAGAGTTGCACCTTGGGAGGGATGTGTATGTACTCCACTCCACTGATCCCTATTCACACCACTTTTTGTTTCTTATCTTGTGCTTTGGACGAAACATGAAGAAACATATATATATATATATATATATATATATATATATTGATATTTAAAAACATGTACACAGGTAAGTATTAATTAAATTTAATACAAAAGACAAACTTAGTGATGGCCTGGGTGAAAGGACTTTGATCGCCTTTAAGCTTTAAGGTAAGGATTTCCTAACAAGGTGAAGGATATATACCTCTCTCTCTCTCCTTGAACGGTCGTGTGAATTTGTCTTTGCATGTTGAGATGAGAAGAAAGAATAAGAATAAAGAGGTGGGAAGGTGGCCTCCAAACTGCGGACTGCGCTGCTTATGTAGCTCATCAGGAGATATAATATAATAATAAGCATCTGACATGATTGGGTCCTTTTAAAGAATTTCCTTACAAAAGGTGGGAGATTACAGTGCCAGATGCTGTGGTTTTCTCTGCAAGTTTGATCGAATACCCTAAAAACCTGAAAATTGGAGCAGAAGAGCAACGTAACTCCAGTTTGGGGTATATATCAAATGGGTATTATATTGATCAGCAATTATCTGTATTATTTAATTAAGAGGGCATGCATGAATCAAATTAAAACTTAAGTGGACCAGATCGATCAATAATCGCCCGGCTCCATACATTAATTAGTGTATATCTTAAATAATGTGGTCCTATATATATCGAGTCGAGTCTGGCATTCAGGTATCTGTTGGGTGAGTGTCGACTGTCGAGTGCAATTATGACCATTTGCCTTCATTTTTCTTCTTTACTCGGGAAACTGGATGTCACGGACCTTTCAATATATATATGTTAACAGTTTGAGAGCAAAACTGTCAATTAATTTGTCCCTTAAAGATGACGAGGGAGATAATTTCAAGCTTCTAATGCTAAGGAGGCACGGGCGCCCTCACATAATTACAAGAATCAAGGGACCTTGCTTAATTAATTTGGATAAACCATGGATGCATGGTTAATAAATATATAGATTCTAGACGATGACCTGGTCCTGACCCTAGTGCAGATGATTCCCGAACACTGTACCTAAGTTTGGATAACTGGGTTTTCAAAACCTATTAATGGCAGAGTGACTCAGTTACCAAAATGAAGGACCTTGTAATTTTGCTGCAAGAGCTAAGCTTGTGAATGGGTGGCTGAATAGTTAGAAGAACCTGCTGGTTAATAGAGATGTTTTTGCGTGGCCAAGAACTGGAAAGTGGAAACAATTGATCGCATTTATTCCCTTTATTGTGATTATATTTTACCTGATCGATCTTTATGGGTTTGACTCGTTTCTTCAGAGTGTATGGAAAGCTTTTGGCTTAAGCTGCATGGGCACAATCCATTCCATGTGCTAATCGACTTTGTTCAGTCAATAATCTAGCTATTTTTATGTCGAAGGTGGTTGGAACTTGGAAGTAATTAATTGCAGGCGGGAGAGACAAATCAATCACAGCAAATTAAAAGCTCATTGGAGGGAGTAGGAGAAATAGCCCAGAAATGGCTAATATTTCTGTCGTAGGCTGTCTCTGCTGGTTTGAATCGATGAACATGAACCCCCCCTCGTACTGGTTACTGGTTGCCTGGTTGGTAGGACGTAGGAGAAATATCAGCTCATCATGTTTATTTATATTCTTGCTTTTGACTGAAGCAATTCGATAACTCCTGTTCACTTCTTTCTCTCAATAAATTACAAATTACTACCAGGATATATTCTCTCATTAATAAATTTTGTTTCAGATCAGGAAAGAAAAACTCAACTCCTTGTAGGGGAGAGTTAGAGAGTTGAAACATTTTGTTAAAATAAAAAAAAAAAACAAAGAAAGAAAGTAAAATAAAAGAAAAAGGTTAGTAGGTTACTTTATGATGATATTAATGGAATTTTTCCAGAAAATAAATAATTTTCATTAATCCCAATTTTCACCTCATTACCCACCCTTGTTAATAATAATAATAATATCATCATCATCACCAGCTCACCCATGACCATGCAACAGAACAAACACATGGAGAGACCAACATCATCACATGCTTGGTTATTGTTGTACAGTACATTCACACCAAACAAGGAAGGCCACACACCATTCATTTTACATAATAATATTCAGAAGTAATTACAATTTACTACATCATGATACAGATTATAGACTACAAGACTACAACCAATAAAAAACATTCAAGAAGAAGAAGAAGCCTCCCCGGTCCCGCAAGAAAAAAACCAGCAACGACCAGATGGAGATTGGAGGGAGGGAGAGATGAGATATTAACAACATAGAAAAAGAAAACACTAAATCCGAACACTATTAAACTAAACCTTACTCTGACTACTCAACAGTAGCTCTGCTGTGCTAAAAACCCATTGCAGTAACTACCGGAGATTACCACTTTAAACCCCCCAGAAAAAAAATAAATGAAGAAAAGAAAGCACCTAGAAACAAAGACGAAGGGAAAAACAAGACCACAACAGATGCCAATTAAGACAGAATAGACTCCCAATCGATATCCCATGAAGGATATCTCTGCAACGAAAGGTTCTCGGACTCATCCCATGGCGGCTCTGTGAAATCCGGTAACTTAAAATCAGGATCAGGCGAAGACCCTGCAGACTCATCGCTGTCTGTCGACGACGGCGATGAGGAGTTCTCCACCTTACAATTCTCTGATGGCAGAAACCCGGATTCGCCTTGTGATGACTTCTCCAAAACCAAAGTCTGCAGCGGCTGAGCTGGTGAAACTGTCGAATCCGCTTGCGGTTGCCCGTCCATCGTCGTCTTCTTTTTGCCGGCGAGGAACACAGGCTTACTTAAGTTCCCCTGCTTCTGCGAAATGGCCAAGCTTTGACAAATGGCTTGAAGCTTCGCGTCCACGGAGGATTGGAGAGGCTTGTAATCGCCGAATTCCCCTGCCACATGAGCTCCTTGGTGCCGGAGATTCGGAAAATTCAGCCTTGCAAACTCTCCCCTGAGCTTGTAAGCGGCCTTATCATAAGCCAAAGCCGCTTCCTCGGCGGTATCGAAAGTGCCCAGCCAAAGCCGGGTGCGGTTCTTCGGTAAACGGATCTCAGCAACCCACTTCCCCCAATGCCGTTGTCTCACCCCTCTGTAAAGCTTCGTGGCCTTTGGTACTGAACCAGCCACTTGCTTCATCGGGATGGCCTTCGGGCTAAGGAAATTAAGGGTATGCTGCTGTTGTTGTTTCTGCTGCCATTGTCCTGGATTATTCTGGTTCTGGACGACGGGAGCTGCAGCCATGGCAGCCATAGCAGCCAGCTGCTGCTGGAACTGGATCTGGGCTTGGATCTGCTGAATCTGAGATGGGCTAAGGTAGTTAAGCCCGATAGATCCTGATCGGTCGAGACCCAGTTGATCATGGCTCGAGAACCCTTGAGAAAACATATGGGTTGTCGATGTCGAGCAAAAGTTTGGGATAGGATTTGGTTGGGAAGGGATAGAAGAAGGGAAATAAGATAAAGGGTAAGAAGAGGAAGAAGTAGAAGGTAATGAAGAAGAGGGAGAGGAGGTTGATGGGGTTGCAGAGGAGGCCGGTGAAGCACCTTTGATAAAAGGTTCCAGTGCTTTCATGAGCTCCTCTCTAAAGGGATCTGAAACGACAGGGCTACTGCTACTGTAAATGTCTATAGCTGCTGCCATGCCTTCAAGATGAAGTAAAGAAAACCTCCAATAGTTTAACCAAGAAAATTACAAAAAGAAGAGAAAAGAAAGAAACTGCAAACCAACCTGTAAATTACCAAAACTACAGAACCAGGTCAGAATTTTGAAGAACGGAAGAGAAGAATAAAAAGGGTTTTTCCACAAAATAAAAAGAAAAGAAGATCAAAGAGGTCTTAAAACAAAGAAAACCTCTAGAACTAGAAGAATCAACAGGAGGGACAGAAAAAAAAACCCTCTCAGTTGATCAAATAAAAAAGAAAAAGCAGATCATCAACTAAAAAAAACACCTAAAGTTACCATGAAGTAATTTCATTAAGAAAAAACTGGATCACTATTCTGAACCACCTGACCTCCAAAAACCATTCCAAGTTTGCTTTTTTCTTGTTCAAAATACCCCCCAAAAAAAATATTTTGAAAGACAGATGATGACAGAAAGGGATACAGAGAAGCGGGATTCAGAGGAGGGGGGGGGAGAGGAGAAGAAGAAGAAGAACGATCAAACACGGCTGAAAATAAAAAACACAGAGAGAATTGTCTCTCCAACACTCGGTTGCTTTTTGTGTTTATCGCTCAACCTCACCTTTGAGTTTACCTTTTGCAGCAGCCTCCGTCACCCACAGCCTTTATATAACCATCCAAGCGTGGCTTTCTCTCTCTTGAATTCATTGTTAATTTCGTATTTCTCTCTCTAACATCACTTGTTTAGTAAAGTAAACAAAGATATCTCTCACCTGTTGTCAACCTCGACCCATGACGCAAGGCTCCTCTAATCAATGGGTTTTCACCAACCAAGAAAGACACGTATATGCACACCTTCATTCAACTGCCATCTGTCCAGCAACAACTGACAGATGTCCTTCATATTATTACGTGGCGAGCCTTGATTAAACAGCAAATATGTTGACTTCGCGTTCTCATTATAAGTTTGGGGGGTTTTAAGAATTTTATACGAAAATGTCATTTATCTACTACCAGGTACCAGCACGCACGCCTTGGCTCTTTCTCTCTCTCAGTCCCAGCTTTGAGTTTGAGAAAATCAAAACACAATATAGAATTTTTATACTAATTTGTGTAACTTCCAAGACTACCACACTATAATCTCGTAGAGTAAGCTGAGCTTGAGAATAACAAGCTTATTATGATTTATGAATATGAATGCGGACTGGAATGAAATTGAGGAAAGGTCGGGGGGAGATTAACTCAACCATGGTTATGGTTAGAAGGAACTTGGGTTGGGGGGAGCAGGTCATGTGATGCGAGAAACCAAAGTAGTGGGACAAGGGTTCGTCGATTGCGGCGAGGGAAGCCTTGGATTTCACGGCCCATTAAATCTCCTTTTTCTCTCTCTCTCTTAATTTACTGCTTCAATATTTCATTCAAAGATACGCAAAGCAGAGATGAAAATCCTCTCCGCCCACAACTCAAGCACGGGTGTGCATGCGTATATTTTTGGAAGAAAAAGAAGAGAAGTTGGTGAAGGTTTTCTACTGAAAGTTGAAATATTCTTTGCAAGTTTGGATTAATGCCACTTTTAATCACTAGGATTGATACAGGACTCCAAGTGATCCATCCATGGTGAGGAAAAGGGTTTCCAACCTCTGCTATTTGTATTTGAAAAGCAATCGGCATCACCAACCCCAACCCAACCTCAATTCAAAAATTTACACCGATTGGGTTAACCATCCAAGCAAGCATGAGAAAAATAAAAAATTATGAAAGTAACTGCTTTCGAGCTAAGCATCCAACAAAGAAAAGAAGGAAAGACAAAGCTTGGCCTTTTGGGTCTGAATGCAAATTCACCGTTCGAAGGCATAGAAAAAAAAAAGATAAATTTTGGAGGCGTTATTGATTTGAAATCTTTAAATAATAAACAATAATTTGTATGCAAGCATGCTTTCTATGGTTGAAATTAAACTGCTAAACCATGGTTAGTTAACAAGTCAAAAATACGAGAATATTATATGGGAATATAGAGGGAGAGGGGTTTTGAGATGGTGGAACCCCAACTTCTTCTGATGCTGCAACGATTCAGGAAATTGTTTATTATTATTTTTCTTCCTGTTTCCGTATCTGCATTCTTGAATTTAGCGCCATCTTATTCAACTGCTGCCACTGTCGACACTCTCATGTGCAAGCCACATATACAGGGTATGTAAAGACGAAACCCACAACCATTTTTGAAGCAGCAAAGGCTTCACAGCAGTACAGTACTAGGGAGGGGCACCGAAATCTATTGGAGATGAAGAGATGTTGTTATTAACACAAATTAATATATAATTTCTTTATTATGAATGGAAGGTTGTAATACAAAACTTTAAAGATTAATTAATTATGTAAATTGAGCTGAATTTAATTTACCATTTGTTTTATAGGTGAAATTAAAATATTAACATCCTTCTTCTATGTTGATTGAGGCGATTTTTCAAAAATTGGCAATTTTTATTGTTTGGTATAAGTTGATTTTTGAGAAATTGGCTTTAAATTTGTTTGGTAGTGATAGAATCAGCTAAAAATTGGGGGAACATAAAATTGATTATTCGTCATCCAGGCCCGGCCGATTTAAGCCTTTAAGGATCTATTATTCAGCAATTTCTCAAAAATAGCTGAAATCAGCCAAACAAGCAGCGTTTTCATCGCTGATTTGTTGAGATGATGCTGTGGCTTTGATGCGACACGATTGTGGAGAAATCTGCAATGGTGCCAAACACCACCCTTAATTTGGAAGAAAATATAAACTATCGAATAGCTAGGACCATCTATTATGAAAATATTAAGACACGATAAATTATTACCTCGAGCCATTTTTTATTGAAGCATTTGGATTTTTGAAGGAATGGAATGGAAGCAACACTAATCATCGCTTATTCTTAATAATAATAATAAATCTGTTTATATATATGTTTTGTTTTGTTGTGTTTCTGAAACGCTACTGAGCCACTCACTATTCTTTCTTGAAATATCAGCGTCCACCCCATCATCAATCATCATTCAATAAAATTAGATAAAAAAAAAAACAAAAACTGAAACTATGAGAACGATATTTTGTCCATGGGCAATAAAACCAAAAATAATGCGTTTGTGTAAACAAGAGGCAGCTCAGCGCAGGCAAATCTCCTTTCACTTCCGGAATTTGACTATCATCATTATCGTCCTACCTACTCTAATACAACTCTCAGAAGTCAGAAGCAGAGCAACGCCAATTTTTATTAATGAAACTTCTTAACTTCTTATTTATAAATCAGGTTGTGATGAGGAGGTCCTAGCATTGCACTCGGCCAATCGCTGGTCCTCTTCTCAAAAAAAAAAAAAATAAACGCCGATCCCATCTCTGTAAAGTTTGCATTTCTGGGTGAAGTCAGAACGGCTCTTGGATTCTCACATCCAGTCTTGGCTGGGCTGATCGCGTAGGAATTTAATTCATTCTTAATTAATGGGGAGATCAGATCAGAATATCACCTGAATTTGAACGAATAAATACTTTAATTTATATAACACTTGTCACGATTCACGAGTAACGGCCCTTACGAATCCGCGTTCTGTCATCTGTGCACCGCGTTCTATGCACCCATGGGTGCAGTGGACGAGTGCACCCACGAATCAGTGCACCCATGAATCACGTTCGACCACGTCGACCAAGTGGAGAACGCATAAGTAAAAGGCCCATTAACACGAGTTCGACGGTTCAATCGGACACAAATCCTTATTAGTCCTTCATTTCCAAGTTTGGTTGTCTTTTTTTTTTTTAATTTCTACACAGAACGATGACAACTTAAACAAAAAGACCATTTTCATCCGTTTTTCCAATTCTTCGTTTTCTATTTTCAGTGGAGTTGGAGAGGTAAACAGCTGTATGTGATCGAGAAACAGTGATTTGATTTCTGGAGATGATGTCTCTCTCTCTCTTCATTGCTTGGTGCTGCTGTATCTGCTAAAGTTGGAATGCATTATCGTTGTAGAAATCGTTGATCTTTCATCGCTTGACGTCTCTTTAGCCTGCTCTTATAATAGTGGTAAGCTATAGTAGAGCCGGTCTTCTCGCTTTCCATGCTGGAGTATTGCTGGTCAAGCACATTGTCTGGCGTGTCCAAACTAGAAACAATATTGAATGCCGATTCGTAGCCATCTATCGCTATGTCTTGCATAACTTTGCAGCAATCGAACAAGTTTTCCTGCAATGAAAAAATATTGTATTATAAATCAAATTTACTGGAAAAAAAAGGAAATTATAAATCATTAAATCAGATATTTGTCTTCAAGAATCAAGACTGATGTAACCGTTTTTTGTCACGTACCATTTTTTGTGATGTATAAATTTTTTTGGCTAAGTACCTTGTTGTTTGACCCGGTGGTGACGTGCCTTGGTGATGAGCTACTTAGTGGCGAACTCCTTGGGGAGAACTACTTGGTGACGAACTGCCTGGTGGTGCTCCCTGGTGGCGAACTGCCTAGTGAACTCCCTGGTGGCGAACTGCCTGATGGCGAACTGCCCGGTGGCGAGCTGCCTGGTGGCGAACTACCTGGTAGTGCTCCCTAGTGGCGAACTGCCTGATGGCGAACTGCCTGATAGTGCTCCCTGGTGGCGAGCTACTTGGGGGCGAACTGCCTGGTGGCAAACTGCCTGATGGTGAACTGCCTGATGGCGAACTGCCTGGTAGTGCTCCCTGGTGGCGAGCTACCTGGTGGCGAACTGCCTGGGGGCGAACTGCCTGGTGGCGAACTGCCTGATGGCGAACTGCCTGGTAGTGCTCCCTGGTGGCGAACTGCCTGGTGGCGAGCTACCTGGTGGCGAACTGCCTGGGGGCGAACTGCCTGCTGGCGAACTTCCTGATGGCAAACTGCCTGGTAGTGCTCCCTGGTGGCGAACTGCCTGGTGGCGAGCTACCTGGTGGCGAACTGCCTGGGGGCGAACTGCCTGCTGGCGAACTGCCTGATGGCAAACTGCCTGGTAGTGCTCCCTGGTGGCGAACTGCCTGATGGTGAGCTACCTGGTGGCGAACTGCCTGGGGGCGAACAGCCTGGTGGCGAACTGCCTGGTAGTGCTCCCTGGTGGCGAACTGCCCGGTGGCGAACTGCCTGGTGGTGAACTCCCTGGTGGCGAACTGCCTGATGGCGAACTGTCTGGTGGCGAACTACCCGGCAGTACTCCCTGGTGGCGAACTGCCTGATGGCGAACTCGTCACTTGACTTGCTCCTAGGCGGTCTGCAACTCAGAG